TTTAATTGCCAGCCTAGCCTTAAATGGTGTGACACCTGTGCATTTAAAAAAAGTGATGTGGCATTTATAACATCTGTAGAAGAACTATTGTTGTGTGTAAATATGGATGATACGAAGAGTTCCTTAAGCTATTGTTAGGAATTTACAAACTGATTGTTAAAATTAGCCTGTCTTAATTGCATAGAATAAGATTACTGCTTTGAATAATTTGAATACTTAAGAGCTGGTAAGGCAACTTTTGAGTATTGAATCCTAAAGTTTTTACTTTTAACTTTCTTACAGTGATAAATGACCTCTTTTTCTCCCTCCAACCAGGAGTTTCCCAAACCGCTTTACCTTTCCTTGTCCGTATTGCAGCGAGAAAAATTTTGATCAAGAAGGATTAGTTGAACACTGCAAAACATTCCACAGCATGGATACGAAACAAGTGGTAATAAAAAGTCTTGGTGCAAGAATTGCAATGAAGTCTAGTCTTAAATCCCTTTGAAACAATGAATTAGAGACTTACTCTTGAAGTTAAGTACATATTTATAATTACTCCTGTTAAAGTCAAATGTGGGTATGCTGTTCACGCATTTAACTTTTACATAATTTTGATGTTGGTTTTCAGTACATTCTCTGGAGGTGACTAGTCTCTATTCCTATTGCAGCTAGGTCACATCGTCCTTTCATATTTGAAGAATGGCAGACATTGAAAGTTAATTAGGCACAGTAACAAACATCAAATTAATAAAATATAATTTAAAAAAAAAAGACATTTAATTTTCCCCTCTGCTGTTTTCAGCAAGAAGATATTATAAACCATGGGGAAAAATGGTTGCAAAAAAAAGTATATCATTCTAGTACTCCTCATCTGCTGATACGCCCTCACGTATAAGAGAAATTGGAAAACATGGAACTGAATTTGAAACTTTCATTTTTCTGAGAAATTTTTTGGAATTCCAAATTATTTATGAAAAATCCTTTTTTTCTCTTGGAGAGAAGTGATCGTTGCAGAGGAGATCAAGGAAACTTTTCTGTTACTGAGAAATAAAGGCTGAAATCTTCTAAAACAACAGCTGTAGTGAATTCTGATTTTCAGAATGTAGGGAGAAGAGTAAGCCATTCCATTTCATACATCTAAGACGTGAATTAAAATTACTCAGTTATCCAAGGCTTTTGTATTAAATGTCCCAGCAAACTATTTGACATCACTTTGCATATAGAATAGCGATTGTCACAAACCTCGAACTTCAGTCTTCCATGCTGTCTCTGTCCTGCCCTTCCTACTGTAAATGTTAAAGCACTTAACCATTGGAGCTTGATTGGCTTTTTTGGGTTTTTCTTGAAGGTTTGCCCAATTTGTGCCTCAATGCCTTGGGGAGATCCAAATTACAGGAGTGCTAACTTCATGGAGCACCTTCAAAGACGACATCGCTTTTCATATGATACTTTTGTGGTATGTGTTTCCTCAACCTTGGAATATAAAGCCTGATGACTCTTAAACCTAGCTTTTTTACATAGCCACTACTGTGAAATCTCATCCATGGATTGGAAATTGGATTATTGGCAAGTCAAAGGAAAAGACAGCTTTTTTTCTGTTCTTATTTGGTGTTGTATTAACCAGTATGGCTGTTGCAGTAAAAGAATTTCTGTACCCTTTGTTCATAGGATTATGATGCAGATGAAGATGATATGATGGCACAGGTTTTGATGCGTTCTTTGCGGGATAAATGAACCAACTAGAAGATTAACTGTAAAAGCAAGCTTCCATGAGAGGGAAATGCCCAACATCCTCACACTTCTCCCTGTGCATCCCAAGATGAACTCAGGCATCTAGAAATATGGAAGACTTTAATCCCTATCGCAGTTTCAAATCCTGGTTCAATATTTCTGTACCACTCAGTCTTTTGTTAACATGGTCTATGCCATTCAACCCTGTCAGCCTAATTTTCTTACTTGCTTCACACAAAGCTTAATTGTAGGTCAACATGGAGGAGACAAATCAGTTTACCTATGCCTGTTTCTTTTGCAGTTGTGTTCATTTGACTGTTTAAAAACAAAAACATTCCAAATGGAATGACCTGAAGTAGTTAATAAATATCTCTCCCCAATCTCATTTACATATCTTAAATGATAGTATGAGAGGTGTGTTTGTAGTTCTGTTTTCCTTTAGTGAGACCTCTAGGTGCTAACTGTAATTGTCAGACCAGCTCTCATTTAAAGTGACCTTTGATGCCTGTCACTTCATGTTTCCCAGTGTTTATATTCTTATAGGCAGCCTCTCAACTATATGGAAAACATGTCTTCAGTATGAGTCTTCAAACTACAAACTTTCTTAGCAAATCTTTGCACCTGTGTAAGCAACTAGTTTAAAATATTTTAGTTCTATGCATGATTATTACTTTCTTCCATACTTTGACCATAACTTCTAGCCTGGAAAATAAACTTTAATGTCGGTCTTAGTTAAAATGCATCATTTTGTAACTATCTTAGCAAATATTAATTGTATTTGCTGGCTTTATGATTAAATTGGTGATTTTGAAACTGGTTTTCTAGTGATTTTAAGCCTAATGCTGACAGGGGAATTCAGAAGTTTTTTTTCCAATATCGCTGCTTTCTATTTAAACTAAAATTTTCATATATATTCCTAGGTTGTTTCCATCTCTCAAGGCAAGCTGATAGCAAAACTTACCAATAATTCATAGCGCTTACAAAGCACTACCTTTCTGCATTACAGATTTTAACAGGTATTTTGAATTCATGTTCTTCATTTAAATGTTGCTAAAGTAGCTGAAGCTGTACTTAGATTGTTTTCCATATAATATTATATGTATAGTATGCAAGTATAGCTTTCAAAGAAAAAGTAAAATACAACCCAGAAAGCAGGACGACAGTTCCAGTACATGGTAAGTGGATAGTCTATATTCAAGTCTACACTTTTACTAGAGATTCCTTTTTAGTTAAACGTTTTAATTAACTGCACAGTCAAGATGCTGAGATCTAATGATCTAAGACACCTGACCAGAACTTGTAAGTCACAGTAGTGTTGAAATGTCTAGTCTAATTTAAACATGTTTAATTGGAGCAGTGGACCTGCACCACCACAGAATTGAGTACTAATTAATTTATTTGACCAGTAAACTTAATATCATCACACTCTGCAGACTGCAGCATAGCCTTACCCTTAAAACAATGAATTGCACCCCAGCTAAAACCTCTTGATTAAACTTTGTGTCCAGCCAGACCTCTATCTAAGTTGAACTTGCTTTTAGTATGTTTTCCCCAGCTTGGTATGGGCTGTTATAGACTCATCCTTAACTATCTGCTTGGTGACTGGAAGGTCAGTCGGGGTGGAGGGCGGGGGGGGGGGGCGGGGGCAGAGATGGGGACAGAGAATCTTACGGTACTGTGGAAAAAGTACTGTGTTCGGGGTTGGTTATTTTTAATGCTTGATCTGCAAAGAGATTACAATGTATTAGTGGTTGGATGGGGATTTCTGGGTTCTGGCTAGAACGCAGTTTGGTGATACCCATTGATGGGAATCTAGATTTCTGCTACTATTCTAAGTGCACTTCCATGCAATTCTGACAAAATGTTTAAGGAGCAGTTAGAAGCTTCCAAACAATTACTTTGTCATGTTTTTGACTTTTGAAGACAAGTTACAAATAAAGGTCATTTAATTTATAAAATCCTATCTTCCTGTCAACTCTTGTCATTTCTTCGTTGCCGTCCATGTGTTTCATTTCAGCACCTCCCTAAAAAGACTTGTTGCTGGCTGTGTAACGCCGTAGGGAGCACAATAGACATTGAGAAATGCAGAGACTTCAATTTTTGGCTTCTATTAAATATTTTATACTGATTAACTGCAACTTTATCTATAATCTTCCAAACAGTGAACCATGCAGGTTAGGAAAAATAGTTGAGATTGAGTTTGGATCTGCCAGAGCTGACCAGAATGCTGCAGATGCAGTCTTGTTTGTGAATACTCCTGTAAGCTGTAGAAACAACCCTCCCGTAGAGTTTCTTGTTAAATTGTGAAAGTGTGACTGTCCAGCAGGGCTTTTCTGTTGAAATCTGTGCAGCTCCCATAGCTTTAACTCTCTTGGCTGTAAAGTTTGTGATATCTACATCCTTGTGTTGTCCTCAGTTTAGGTAGCTTCAAATGAGGAGGTGAAGGCCAGCTTGCAGCAATGACCGGTCAGAAATTGCTCGTGCTGAGTGATTGTACCCTAACTGTCTGTGCAGACCTGTTCCTTGACTATACAACTCGGGTTTAATTTGCATCATTTTATTATTTGGGAATTATTTCACAGAAGGTACAGACCAAAAATACAGACTGGAAAATGCATGCTACTTTTACTTTAACTTTGATTACATTAGTGTATGAGTAAGAAGCAATGTCCCAGCACCTGCTAGCCTGATAACAGCAGAATTCACAGCACTGTTTCCTATGCTGTGATGAGCACCCAGAGAACTGCTCAGAGATTAACCTAGCCATAGACTTCCGCTTACTCCAACTGCTGGAGGGCTTTGTGTCTCTATGCTGCTGACTTCATCAACTTAACAAACACAAATGTGTTTACACATGCTGTGGTATGTCTTACTGATACTTGTTGGTAAGACATTCTGTTGAGAGAAGCACGTGGTCTGTGTATAGCCTTGATTCATCTCACTTGTGTGCAGAAACTTGTGATGAAAAAAGCTTTATTATAGAACAAGGTGGTCGGGGCTTCTAAATCCAGTGGAGTGTCACTGCAGAAGAGTGAAGTACTCTGCCAGACCTGCTCTCACCTTGTCAGCAGCTGATCTTGTAGCCGCAGCAAATCCCAAGTGCCTATTGTTGGTGATAATGCAATCGGGCCACCTCGAACCTGTGAAATTCCCCGTGTCTGGCACAGGGAGTCAGCCTTGGGAGGGCAATTAGTGCAGAGGGAGAGAGACAGAATGGGAGGAGACAAGCTTGCAGTTGAGCTATTTTTTAAATTAATCTGTCTCCAGTCAAAGACTGGCCTTAATGGGTCTGATAAATTGTTGTCAGCATTAATTGCCTAACACAAAGCACAAAGACATCGCTTCATCTGGAATTACAGCAATAAATCTCCCTCATCTCTTTACACTGGGGGGGATGAGATCTTGTAAAGAATCCCGTCTATAATAAAGCATTAATGGTATATTCTGGGTCCTCATGTCACCTGGTTGGCAAAGGCACAGCAAATTTGCTTTGAGGCCTTTGGCCAGCTATACTGGATGGTCACTGGCAAGACCAGCATAAGAAGGATTAAACTCTCACGCAATACCAAGGCTATGTTAACTCAGAGAAAAGCAAATGAGGGATGTGCTCGCAGTCCTAAAGCTTTTCTTTGGTTTAAATATACTAAAAATGACAACGGGTCATTTGCCTGTTTGGGGGGGTGAGTTGTTTTTCTAAAGCAGAGCTTCGTGTCACAGTTGCATTGGTCTGTGCTTCATTCTTCAAAAGCAACTCATTTTTTTATGGTGTTGTGGTTTAACCCCAGTCAGCAACTAAGCCCCACGTAGCCGTTCAGTCACTCCCGCCTGGTGGGATGAGGGGAGGAGAAGGTTGAGATAAAGAGTTTAGTAGGTAAAGCAAAAGCCACATACGCAAGCAAAGGAAAAGAAGGAATTCCTTCACCACTTCCCATCGGCAGGCAGGTGTTCAGCCATCTCCAGGGAAGCGGGGCTCCATCACACATAATGGTTACTTGAGGAGACAAAACGCCATCACTCCAAAAGTCCCCCCTTCCTTCCTCTTCCCCCAGCTCTGTATGCTGAGCATGACATCGTACGGTGTGGGATATCCCTTGGGTCAGTGGGGGTCAGCTGTCCTGGCCGTGTCCCCTCCCAACTCCTTGTGCACCCCCAGCCCACTCGCTGGTGGGTGAGAGGTGGAAAAGGCCTGGACTCTGTGTAAGCCCCTCTCAGCAATAACGAAAACATCTCTCTCTTATCAACGCTATTTCCAGCACAAATCCAAAACCTAGCCCGTACCAGTTACTATGGAGAAAATGAACTCTGCCCCAGCCAAAACCAGCACATATGGATAAGCTACATTATTCTCCAGGTGTTACAAACAAGGACTGTTGAAACCACTATAAAAACTTCCTTTTCCTTCCCCACTCCTTTCCCAAAACTCCAGAAAATAACTCAGTGCTTAGTGAAAATAAATGTCGTTGCTACAGTCTTGGGTCTGGCTTCCAGTTCTTCTCACGTTTGTTCTGTCATGACCCAGTACTCAGACACTGGGCTTTAAAAAAATAATACAGTGGAGTTTCTGGGAGCTGTGTTAGTACCCCCAGGCAATGAGGTTCCCTCCTGTAACTTGAGCGTAGGGGGGAGCAAACCCAGCCCGGTGCCGGGAGCGGCGGCCGGCAGCGCCGACAGCAGAGGGAGGTCTTGTGTTTCGGAGAGAACGGGGCTCCGCCGCCCGGCCCGGGGCTCGTCCCCGTCCTCTTCCACCGGGCTCAGGGGCCTGCCGGGGCTTTCACGGAGCTTCTCGGGTCTTGCAGCGAGGGTGCACACCTCATCCCCACACCTCACGGCCAGAACTTCCCTTCGCCCCAGCACAGTCTCCCGCGGTGGCAGGAGCTTTGCTCTGCAGCAGGGTATTTGGGATGCTTCATGTAGCCATGGGGCCAAAGGTAAAAAGAAGAATTGGCAGCAGACTTGCCGCTCCGGAGGTGGTTAGCATGCGTCTGCAAACTCCCTGGGCCAGT